TCCCTGATAGCCTGTCAAGGTCCAATGAAAAACATCAGTTATTAAGCAACAATGAGAAACATTTATGAATATATCTAATTCTATCCATACCACTGCAATTTCCAAAGGGCAGCTAAATTCAGTATTTGTTCCATTGATTTGGGACCAAAGGGTCATGGCATTATTGCTGACAAAAATAAACAGGAGTAAAATTTAAAAAAGAAAAGCAAGAGGATAACAATGGAGAATTCTACCATAATTCTACTGCAGCTATCATCAGAAAATTAAAAGGGATATTGAAATCACCATTGATAATCACCAAAAGTAAGATTGCAAGTAGCAACCAAAGGCTTGATATCTTTCTTCCAAGGAACTGTCTGTCTAATTGCAACATCAAACAACTTTCCTACTTGCTTCCTTAAGGCATTTCCGTTCAAGCTAGCCTCGACCATTGTAGAAGGTACAAGTTGTACGCCAAATCAATTTTTGGAATTAAAAAGACGACACAGAAGGCTGCCAAGATGAAAAACTGATCAGAATAAGATGAAAGTTTCAGTTTACAGCAATGTTCGAAAAGGCGTATTGCGGTTTTGAGGCGTTTTTTGTTCAAAGCAAAAGGCGTAAGCCTCAAGGCGTATTGAGGCGTAAGCCTCAAGGCGTATTGAGGCGTAAGCCTCAAGGCGTATTGAGGCGTAAGCCTCAAATTGAAAGTTAAAAATGTGGGTAAAACATATGTAACAATATATGTATAGAACATTATTAATAACGTAATAAATCCGTAAACATTAAAATAGTACCTTGGCAAATAAAAGAGTTCAAACTTCAAACAAAGCAAAGTTGTGTGAACCAACACAATTTATTAGGTAAATATGATGAACTTAAATCGACAAATTGAGAAACAATTCATCGGTGTCTAATGGCTTAAAATTAGGATCAAATGATGTAGTATTTCCACCACCTTCTTCCTCAGAGTTGAAAAACCAATCATCTCTTAAGGGCTCCGGAACCACATTATCATTGTCCTCATCTTTTAAGGGCTCCAGAACCACATTATCAAGATAAACCTACCACATATTTCCATGCTAGATCCGCCATTATTTGTACTTTGTGTTACTAAGAAAAAAAAATTAAAATTTTTATATACATGCAAATTTCACATTTATATAACAAATTACTAACAAAACAAAATACACCATAAACCTTGAAAAAAAATTGAGATAATACACAATAAAAACTTAATTAAAAATTGAGCATTGACAATAAAGAAAGTAAAAAAATTTAGACAAAAAATTAGTAATATTACACAAAAATAATACAAAAAACATAACGCAAAGCTACAACCTTCACCACAACATTAAAAAAAATCGTTATATACACAACGGAGCACATAGGCAATCGCTATATACATAATAGAGCATGGGAAAACATAATCAATCGTGTACCAGAGCACGGGAAGACGTAAATGATCTATTTTACGTCTATTTTGTAAATGATCTATTTTACTCCTATGGACTGACTCCCACAAAAGGTATAAAAATAATTGGAAAAAAAATGCAGAACTAGTGTTTTCCATTCTTTGTTTTTTGCAAATTGTTGTGGACCAGACATGTTCCTCAAAAAAGGAAGCTTGAACTTTGGTTTGAAAACCTCTTTTATTGATTTATTAAAACTTTTAAAAAGAAGATTACCTATTAAATCTAGAGCATCGTAAACCTAATTCTAAAAATAAAATTACCTAATAAGCCTAACAATTATCATTTGCCAACTTTGCCTAATTGATTCAAGGAATTAAACCCTAGCACCTTGTAAAAGTAATTCAATAATCTTTTTTGGCCTAAAAAAACCCTGGCACCTTGTAAATTACTTTGCAAATCTTGCAAAAAATAAAAATAAAAAATAGGATTGAAGAAAACCTAGGGAATAGATACTTTGCAGAATTGAAACAACCGTGTTCCATCTTACACAACAATATTGCCTAATAATTGAAAAGAAACAATAGTTCATAGAAGAAAATCACATGGCATCCGAAAAAAAACGAGANTGCCTAATTGATTCAAGGAATTAAACCCTAGCACCTTGTAAAAGTAATTCAATAATCTTTTTTGGCCTAAAAAAACCCTGGCACCTTGTAAATTACTTTGCAAATCTTGCAAAAAATAAAAATAAAAAATAGGATTGAAGAAAACCTAGGGAATAGATACTTTGCAGAATTGAAACAACCGTGTTCCATCTTACACAACAATATTGCCTAATAATTGAAAAGAAACAATAGTTCATAGAAGAAAATCACATGGCATCCGAAAAAAAACGAGAAGACAAAATCAAAAGAAAAAGCAAGCAATTAAAAGGATTGAATATCAAAAGAATGAAAATCTTACTCAGCGGCGTTGGGTTGCTACGATTTGAAGCTGTCCGGCGACGTGGCGGACCTAGGGCTCTGTCTTGAGTAAAAAAGTCGAGGAAGAATACTAATGGAGAAAGAGTATTTATAGTCAGGAATAAAATACTCCCTCCGTCCCGTAATATTTGTCCACTTTTGACTTTTGTAACAGTTCATCTAAGCACTTTGACTCATCAAATTCTCTCGATGTGTAATCCTAAATATAGTCATGTGATCTTGTTTGATTTGTTTTAACATATAGATTATTAATATATAATTTCTATAATCTTTTAATATACAAATTACAAGATAAAATGGATTAATGAAGTGTATTGGATGATGTGTAAAAATAAAAGTGGACAAATACTGTGGGACGAAGGTAGAATCTTCATATATGAATGATTATATTAAATCAATGGGTTTAATATTATTTTGAATACCTCTAGATTTTTATAGATTTTAAAAAGTTACAATTGAATACACCTAAACTTTCAAATTCCACTGATTTCTAATTAAATGAATAAGAATCCTTATACAATACACCCCCTTAGTTTGTATTTTTGTCTTTTGATTATAAATCATGAATTAACATTTTTTGATTTAGGCATTTCTGTTCTTTTGATTATAGTACATCCATTTTAATTGCTTAATTTTACTATTTATTTTTCATTTGAGTTCATAATTTGACAATTATATTGCATAATAATTTTTTAATTTCAATCACAACTGAAATTATAATACTCCCTCCGTCCTACATAAATCTTTCCATTAGCCCTTTTTATTTGTCCATCATAGATCTTCTCATTACCTTTTTTAATAATTAAAATACCACAACTACCCCCACTTACTTTATATATTACACCTCACCCATCTCATTTAATACATTCCATCCATTTTCATTAAGGGTATTATGGTAAATTTTCACCTTTTTTCAACTCTCCTTAAAAACCACAAAAAATCAAAATGAGAAGATCTTAGGTGGACGGAGGAAGTAATTATTTAGTTGTATGATAATTACTATTTCATTCTATAAATATACAGATCATAATCTTAGAAAGATAACGAATAAGTAAAAGAAGTACTGCATCAAGTAATTGTCACATAATGATAGATAGTAGGGGTTGTGTTAGAGCAGTGGCAATACTCCTAACGCGCAGCGGCGTTAGGGAGCATTTGAACCATGTGGGCGTTAAACACCGCCCCCCTCCTCCCTTATACCCATGTTAAAATTTCTACGTCATATGTTTGACGCAATGTGAAGGCATTTTGATGCCTTCTTTTTCTTCCCCCCCCCTTCTTATTTCCTCTCTTCTTCTCTATAAATTAAATTAAATTTAACATAAATACAATTTTTTCTCTATCTATCATCTTTTTTTAAAAAATTATTATTCAAGTATTTTTTATTTTGTCATGAATATAATTTTTTATTTAATGAATGTAATTTTTATTTAATGAATGTAGTTTTTTATAATGATGTAATTTTTTTATTTAATGAATGTAATTTTTTTAAATTAATGAATTTAATTTTTTTTAGTTAATGAATGTAATTTTTTATAATGAATGTAATTTTTTTTAACGAACTATTATCGTTTCAATTCTTTTAAATAATTAAATAATTAAAGTTTATTAATTTAATTTTAGAAGATGTGTATTTAAAATGTAAAAAAATGAAGGTTTGAAGCCCCAGTTTGAAGCCCCGGGGCTTCAAACCCATTTCCACTGAAACTGTGAGGTAAGTTAAAGCTGACATGGCAAAAAAAAGGTTTGAAACTCCGGTTTGAAGCCCCGGGGCTTCATGGGTATTTCTAGTGCCCTTAGCATAACATTCAATACCAATACTTAATTCTGTCATAATGAAAAATGGTACGACGAAGACTTAACTGAAATTTAATGAGGATGAACAATATGGAGGATGAGTGACGAGGTGGGTAGGTACCTACCACTACCAGTTCACCACCATTGCAGCTCCTTTTTCAAAAACCAACTATTTGCTTATTATTATAACAGTTACCACTAATCAATTCATAATTCAAATTTTAAAGTATACAATGGAAGGAATATTTCATTGAAATTGGTCTATATGGTTAGACTAATACTCAAGGTTAATTTTATTTAATCTGCATGGAAAAAAAGGACTTAATATCAGAAAATGTTAGTAGTTAAGCATATTTTTTAGTTTGTAGGAAAGTAAATAGCATACGGAGTAATATTTAAAAAGTATATAGTAAATACCAGGAATGCCTTGTAAATTTACTATTTTGTCCTTTTTAAAATTTACTACTCCTAGGATCAGCATATGCGGGGTTTTTCCATGTTTAACCATGTCATGAATAATAGACAACCAGTATGCATCGTCAGTGGTAGCATCGGGATATTGAAGAACATAGACATTGAGTATCAGAAAGCACAAAGCCTTTACCCAATGCCTGTTGTGAGCATATGAAGTGATATGCATAATCAAGGAAAGGTCGTAAAGGAATGCCATCACAAAAGTTGAAACCGGATGGAAACTGGAGAGCTAGGATAGAGGGCAATAAGATCTTCAATCCTAGGGTAGTACCAGGGTCCCCTGAAACATGCATGCAATTCCCATAATTTAAAGATCAATAAGCGACACACAAAGTGATTCATAAAGAAGAATTAAGAAGAGTCATCACACACTTAGCGACCCCCTTTCATAGTACTCATGCAGAGTAACAATAAATCCTTGAAATTCGCAACATAACAAAACTAGTTTTAAATCACTTTACCAATGTCTATATTCCCTTAACACCTTTCTTAACATTTAAATACCACATATGACTTCAATCACCAATATGCAAGGTTAGAACAATTACATACCCTTATATTTGCAGCTCACTGCACCCTAACTCATCATGCGAAATCAGTTAAATTTAAAACCCTTGCTTACATTTTATTCCTATGCTTAGGTTGGTGATTTGGGGCTGTCCAAAGTGAAATGCCAGACATTAATCTCAGGTGGGGGGAGAGGAACTCTCCCTTTGATGGCCCCTGAACTTCTTAATGGTAGCAGCAGCCTTGTCTGTGAAAAGGTTGTTTCTCATCTCATCCTCTTAAATCGAGCATCATGTTTGTATTGATATCTCCATTAATCAGTGGCTCAAGATTATTGAGGCGCCAAAATCAAAGAGTCGATGCTTTCATTTATTTTTTGAGCCTGAAAATGTGAAGGAATGTGCCTTTAGGTTGATGTGTTTTCATTTGGAATTGTGATGTGGGAACTTATAACTAGAGAAGAGCCATATGTGGACTTGCACTATGGGGCCATTATTGGTGAGTTCTTCAGATATGGTATAACCATTTATCATCACATGAGACCTATCTCTTTTCAGCTTAAATTTAATTCAAGTGCTTTTGAGCTAAAAACTACCGACCGTCATTTTCACAACATTTTTTTTTGTTTTCACAAGTGATAACTTTTAGATAATTTTCCATCCCCCAAAAAAAAGGAATCATGTTTGATATGTTTAGCCAATTCACTCTAAGGTATAAACACTAAAGGTCTTTTTGAGCTGAAAAATAAATTGAAAGGTCTTTACTGGCTGACAGTTCTTATAAAATCAATAATTTTAATTTGAGTTTGAGATTTGGGATGATGACAGGTGGTATAGTAAACAACACACTGCGGTCGTGTGTACCAGAATCTTGTGACGCAGATTGGAAGGCATTGATGGAAAGATGCTGGTCTGCAGAACCATCGGAAAGGCCAACATTTACGGAGATTGCTAAGGACTTGCGAGCTATAGCAGCCAAGTTTCCTGCAAAAGCTGCAGCCCAACAACCTAGGACTTAATCGCAGGCACTAACACCTTTTATTTATAGCACTCTTCTTGACTTGTGTTCTCCAATTGATTTGAACTTGGGGAATTAACAGCCAAAATGTCCTTATTGGGGTCATTAGGGGGGGAAAAGATCAATTGGAATTATACTACATTTCTCCCCCAATCAAATTTCATGTGAATAATAATCCATCTTTTCATTTGCTATTTAGTCCTTGTAGTTTATGCACCAGTTGCATGGTTTTGGCACAAACAACTTTGGCATGCTTAATAACAGCATACCAGTAATTGTACACACACAAATTGCCAACCCTACACCAATGTTCTTTTGTTCATGCAGACATGCACAGGCAGTTCATTGGCACCAGTTCATTGGCACTTTGACATGTACTCCCTCCGTCCCACTGTCTTTGTCCACTTACCTTTTGGCACACCATCTAATGCACTTTTTTAATCCATTTTATCTTGTAATTTGTATATTAAAAAATTATACAAATTATATATTAATAATCTATATGTTAAGACGAATCAAACAAGATCACACATGACTATTTTTAGGCTTACACATTAAGAGAATTTGATGAGTCAAAGTGCTTAGATGAATAGTTCCAAAAGTCAAAAGTGGACAAAGACAATGGGACGGAGGTAGTATTCACCATTAATAGATGCTAGCATTTGCCACAAGGGTGAGTTTGGATAGGCTACACTCCAAAGGAGGGTAGATCATATATGTCAGCATGAAAACACAATCTCTCACACACACACACATACCCGTGCAAAACATGCAGTAATGTGCATCCAACCTTAAAGCAGTCATATGTAAACGAATAAACTGCCTGGAGATGCAAGTAGTCATTATCTACATCTATACTTGTGATAACTAAGTAAACCCCAAAGTCGAATCCCTTAGAAAAGTTGATGCATGTCACTGTCAATACCAACCACCCCAAAAATAATAATAGTAATAATAATAAATACTAAAATATTGCTACTGTATATACACTTATACTCGTCTCTTCTCAAATGAAATGCTCGCCGCTTAATTTTTCACCTGCACTACTTTTCCAAGGATCGAGTTTGGTACGTGTGAAGAAAGATTTTGAGCTTCTGCTTATAAGGATAAAAAAAGAGAATAAGTGTTAGCATAAGTCACCACGTTGCTACCTCTTGCGCTTGCTCTTCTGAGAAGAAGTTGAGGAGGAAGAATTGCTGTGCCAATTTCTTTTCCTTTGGTTGATGAACCAATTGTTTATCTGTTTCAGTTGCAACCCAGTCTCTGCCACTAATCTTGCCTTGTCTTCCTCCTAAATCAAAAGTGAACAAAGAGAAGTACTAAGTTAGGACTCGAGACCCTGAGGAATGTCTAATAATGCATTATCTAACCTGCCCTTACCGTTGGATAAGGCCATTTTGAGTGTGACTGCCACCAGGCTTTTAGGACAGAAGTAGTATCGCCGGGCAGCTTTCCAGCTCTTCTTTTACGCAAAATTTCTTCCCTGATGTCCCCTATCTTTTCTTTGTAACCCTGGAGGACAGGAAACCATTAAATATGGAACAGATAAGACTATCAACAATACACCAAAGCAAAAAAAACAACATTCAAATACCTGTTTGAGCTCATGCTTCAGTTCTTGTCTCACTCGCTCCATAAGTGACCTCTCAGTTTCAGTAGGAACCAGGGGACCAAAACCCATGGTGTCTGATCCATCTAGACCTCCATCAAATAAGTTGGTGTCACTGTCGTCCTGCTCATCATCGTCATCAGACATTGTTGCACCTGTACTTTCACCTGGTGCTACCCCTGTCAATCTTTCATTGTCAATACGAGGACGCCCAGAAACATAAATTTGATCTACAAAAATATTTAAAACTAGATGGGCATCTATGCCATTGGTTGTTAAATACTTGAACCAATCTGCCTCATGACAAACAATAGTGAATCACTTAGAATAGACATGTTTATTTCAAGTGACCAATTTGGTTTCAACTTTCTTGCTTTGCTAACCATTTGGCATTTTTATAACCAAACACTAATTTATTTCATTGGCGCGCTGAATTGGTATACAATGCCGGGTTTGTGTGGGAATTACATGGGGTTGTTGTTGATGTTGTGTTGGTGTGGTAGGTACATTTTTGGCCAGAGTTGATCATTTAAGCCTTTTTTCATCTATATATTTTTCATATTCAGCAATTTCACCAAAAATTCACCCTTGCCAAACAAGCTCCCATCCGTGTAACATGAGCATGATTATAGAATGATATGCTAAATCAAATACAAGTGAGGATTATGGGGAGAATAGAGAGGACACAACAATAAAAAGTAAGAGTAAAAAACAAATCCACCTACTGACCTACCTGTTAAGCTCTGTAGAGACTGCTCAAGTTCCCAGCAGGCCATGACAGCTTCCATAGCATGCACTCGGACATGCTGCTGCAGTTGTTCTTTAAAGGAAGAGAGCAACAGAACATAATGTGTCTACATCAGATGCAACAAAGAAGAAAGGAAGGGGAAAAGGTAAAGTTGATGTTTAATAGCATAAAAAAGAGAGATAAATCTAGTCGTTAACATGGAACAACACGAAAGAAATAGTTTCAGAGCACCCAAAAACACCAAGGAAAAAATGNGGACACAACAATAAAAAGTAAGAGTAAAAAACAAATCCACCTACTGACCTACCTGTTAAGCTCTGTAGAGACTGCTCAAGTTCCCAGCAGGCCATGACAGCTTCCATAGCATGCACTCGGACATGCTGCTGCAGTTGTTCTTTAAAGGAAGAGAGCAACAGAACATAATGTGTCTACATCAGATGCAACAAAGAAGAAAGGAAGGGGAAAAGGTAAAGTTGATGTTTAATAGCATAAAAAAGAGAGATAAATCTAGTCGTAAACAACTGAACGTGTCAAAGCTTAAAAGTGGGAACATGAAGCAGGGAACAAGACGAAAGAAATAGTTGCAGAGCACACAAAAACACCAAGGAAAAAAGTGTGTTGATCAGTAGAATGCCACAGAGACATTCATGTTCTACCCTTGCTTTTAGATGAGTTTATTTTTCTGCCCGTAGTAGGTGCGAATTATGTGTGCATAAGGTAAAATGCGTATGAAATCACAAATCGAGAAATTTGCCCGACTATAACCACAACAAAAATAATAATAATGAACTTTTGAAATTTGTCCACTTTTGGAAGACCTTAGAGAACATAACAAGGAAAAGACCAAATAACAGGTGGGAAACATGCCATCAAGATATAGATTTTTTAGCACTCCAAGGGTCAACATCACTAATTGGTCCTTGTTTATGATATATACTGGTAACAGATAGATAGTCCAGCTAATAACACACCTATGTACAGCTTTGCTCATTTAATGCTCCATTTTTGGTAAATGAAGAAACAAGAACATGATAATTATAGTAATAATTCATGTTCTTGAATTGAATGACTTCCCCATCTCCAGGCCTTATCCCACCCCCAAAAAACTCCATGGAGAATTTTCGTTTGCTCAAAGAAACGAAAATAGCAATGAGAAATCAAGACCACCGAAAGCACACACCTTAGAAATATGCGTAGGGGTTATCTTTGGTTTGTTCTTTGGCGCAAACTAGTATAGTTATAGTATAAAGAAACACATTTGAGGATTAGTAGAGCATAAGAACCTTTTCTAGGGCCTCTAACAACCCACTTAAGCTTTTGTTTGGGTTGGTTAGAGTTATCTGAACGATTCAATTCCAAGGAAAACTTAGAAATCTATCAAAATGGGCATAATAAGTAGGAGAGTTCATATTTAGAAGATCAGTAAAAAAATTACACTATTGATCGAAGCTAGAATGCCAAATTAGAAATGAAAAAGAAAGAAAGAAGGAGAATTACCATGAATAAATCAAGGTCTCTCTCATCCAAGGGAGGGTGGCCCTGACCCAGAAGGGAGTACTTAGCGACGACGTTTTGGGATTGAGCGAGCTGGGCATCGATTCTGGAGAGCTGGTCGACTGGGGTGGCGATTCTGAGGCAGGAGACGTGAGCCGCCAGTAGCTGATCGTACAGAGGGTGGTTCAGAACGTCGGCCTTGCACTTATCCCTCTCCCAGCAGCTCGTCTCTCCGTTGCAATTCACCTCCCGGACGAGCTTCTTCATGGAGTCGGGGGCGGCGGGAGAGAGCCAATGGTCGTCGGAGGTCTGGAGGTGGAGGAAGCTGGGGGAGCCGGAGAAGTGGTGGTGGCGGGGGCGGAGGTGGGAGGCGTCGAGCCAGGTGGAGGAAGGTGGAGATTTGGGGGAAGGAGAGGGTTGTTGTTGATGATGATCGGGGGGGAGCATGGAGCGTAGGACGAAGGCGGCGTCGTCTTGCTTCTGGTTGTGCTGGAGAGCCATTTCTTCTTTTTCTTCTTCGTCTTCGTCTTCTTCTTCTTCTGGTTGTCGTTGTTGCTGTTGTTGAGAGAGATGGCTCTGGTGGTGGTCCTGAAACTCCATAGCTAGATAGATAGCTACTCCGTCAGTATAAAGCAGCCAGCCAGGGAGGCAGGGCAGGGCTATTAATACTCCCTCAGTCTTCCATTACATTACAATATTCCCTCTTATTTTTGTCCCAAAAAAAATACAAAGTGTTTACTTTTACACTAAATGGACTCTTTTACCCTCCCTTCCCTTTATCATTTTAATGTCAAAATCTCACACACCCACCCATTCCTATACTATTTGGGGGTAATTTGGAGGAAAAAATACCGATTTGACTCTTCTAATTTTGTCTAAAAGGGAATATTGTAATCTAAAAGGGGACGGAGAGAGTATGATATACGCAGTGTACAAACACTGTGGACGCTCGGAACGAAACAAGGAGTTATTGGAATATTAGAATAATAATATTTGGTCATTGAATTATAAACTACAGGGTACAGTATGTATAAGAGAGACCTCTAATACAAACAGAAATATAGAATGAAAGCTAACTAAAATATAACAACTATAGAATACTTAATATTATTGTCTAACATCCTCCCTCAAACTAAGTCTAGTCGAAGCAAGAGGAAGCTTGGATATCAATGCCTGGAAAAGCTGGGAGGTTAATGGTTTCGTCAAAAAATCTGCAAGTTGATCTTCTGAGGTAACATGCTGACCAGCCATAGAACCATCAATAACTTGTTCCCGAACAAAATAACAATCCGTGCCGACATGCTTCATGCATTTATGAAAAATAGGATTATTCATTAAGCAAATGGCTGACGGTGTGGCGATATGAAAATTTGTCAGAATATAAGTCAACCACATAACCTCAGATGCGGCTGCCGATAATGCTCTATATTCAACCTCAGTCGATGATTTAGAGACTCGTGTTTGCTTTTCAATACTCCATGACATCAGATTATGTCCAAGATAAATAAGATAACCAATAGTCGAGCGGCTATCAACAAGATCATTCGCCCGGTCGGAGTCAGAATAAGCAGGGAGACGTAAGTCCCCCTTGCGAAAAATGATGTCAGTGGTGAGGGAGCCTTTTACATGCCGGAGAATACGTTTGAGAGTGTGAAAATCTTGCTCCGTAGGATTATGCATTTTATGAGCAACAAAGTTGACAACAAACTGAAAAGTCAGATATTGAAGTCCACCAACAAGACTCCTAAAAAGATAATGATTAGCAAAGGGAGTATCAGCACCATTTGTAGATGAGCTCGGGCTTATCAGCGTTGGTGTGGGAATGTAGGTGTCCACCCTAGCTCGATGGATGAGTTCTCCAACATATTTAGCTAGATGAAGAAGGAGATGATCAGCGGTACATTCAACTTCAAGACCCAAAAAATAATTCAGATGACCCAAATCCTTCATCTTGAATTCTTGTTGCATAACCTGAATGAAGGCCTAGATAAGAGTAGAAGAAGAGCCAGTAATAACAATGTCATCCACATATAATAATAAAATAAGAGTGCCCTTCGAAGAGTGCTGAATGAAAAGGCTGGTGTCATGTGTGGTAGTAGTGAAGCCCTGAGCAGCAAGGAAAGAGGGCAAACGGAGATACCAAGTTCGTGGTGCCTGTTTGAGACCATAGAGAGCCTTTGTCAATTTACAAACGTAATGAGGATATTGTTGATCAATGTAACTAGCTGGTTGTGTCATATAAATGACTTCCTCCAGCTCTCCATTAAAAAAGGCATTAGAAACATCAAGTTGGTGAAGAGGCCAATTACAACACGAATAGTTTGTTGCTTAACCACAAGACTGAATGTTTCTGAATAGTCCAGAACATATTCCTGATCATAACCCTTTGCCCCACAAGTCGAGCTTTATATCTCGATATTGTCCCATCAACATTACACTTTTATGCAATAAATCCACTTACATCCAATCGGATACCGGTTGCTACGTGGAGGAACCAACACCCACATATGTTGTCGTAACACTGATAGTGTGCAAGTGCCTATCTTTATGCTACTCACACCCTACATTTGGATGTTTCATTCGCACATCATAGAAGCATTGTATCACTTTCACCAACATTTGCTTGCTTTCCAAATCACAAAGCTTTAAAATTTACCTGTTTCGAGGTAATTGTAAACCTTTACTCCTACAAGTTATGTGTTTTATTTTGTTTGCTTGCTTTCCAAATCTCAAGGCTTTAAAATTTACATGTAAGGTAATTGTAAACCTTTACTCCAAGTGATGTGTTTTATTCTGTTGAATGTCTATGTTTTTATAGCTGGCTAAAATATGGGGTTCTGAGGAAGCTGTGGCTGCCCATGAACAACTCATTGAGAATATCCAAATCATGGGATTTGACATAAAGAAAGAAATGAACTCAGACTTTGGAATTTGTCAACAAATAATGGAGTATGCCAACATATTGAAGGGTATGAAGATTTGTTATATAGGGCTGACATAAAAACCATTTTGCTGACATACTTCTACAGAAAAATGCCTTCAATTCTGTGCTGAAATAGTCATTTTTTGCTAGTACATATAGGAATTCTGTATAGGTGGTCAAATATTCCACCGGATTGAAAAGGATTTAGATATGTTGCATTTTTTTAGAAAAGAGGATACCGAGTATGTTGTATAGGTTGATATAAAACGATTTTACAAGTAGTCTCTCCGTCCCACCATATTTGTCCACTTTCAAAGTGGCACAAATATCGAGGGAGGAAAAAAGGTACACAAAAGTCTTAAATGTCCTTAAATTTAAAAGAAAGTGGGATGAGAGTGTAAATGAGGAATAAGACATGAAGGAAAAAGGGGGAAATTAATTAGATTTTTTTACTAAATAAAGAAAGTGGACAAATATAGTGGGACGACCCAAAAAAATACTGGACAAATATGGAGGGACGGAGGGAGTACTTTGTAAAGAATAAATGAATTGACTTCAATTTTGGTGCTCAAAAACTTACAGGTTCTTCACTATCCGTATTAAACAGAGCCTAATAATAATTACAGGTTTCTTCACTATCAGTGTTACCATCATATCTTAAATATAGGCACAATCCCAAGAAGGTAAAAACAAGTTCTCATAACCATTGCGGTTGCTTCACATAGCAAGAGTCTGCTCGATTCTTCTTTTGAACCAATCACCTGCCCAAATTTTCCGACCATATGTTATTTTATATACATTTCATCCAACTACATGATATATATCATACGGAAACTTAAGTAATAACTTGCTGGTTAATTGATTCACAGAAAATTAATGTCAAGTCCCAATCAAAATCTTGTATGTTTTACGATCATACCTGACATTTAGAATAAAATTTATTGAAGTATTCTGATAGATTATACAGATATTCACACAATAAATGTGGCAGGAGATTGGCGCAGGCCTCCTCAATTGCCTGAAAATCAAAGGGAAATATATCCATTAGGTGACTGAAACAAAGTGGGGAAGCATGATTAGAAGAGATTCTTAAAGTATTAACCTCAGAAAATTGTAGTAAATGAAGCCCCAATGCTCGCTCATCAGGATGATCCAACACCAATGAGCACGTCTGCATCCAAAATTACGCATGATAAGCAACAACAAAAATTAAATTCAACTACTCAAGATAGAGAATTAAAGGCCCCAACAGATACATTTTTAAACTAAACATATAATGATTTGCTTGAATAGTTACTTGAATTTAAGTGTACACACACACACACACACATATGCAAGACACATGAACAACGCACTCAAGTGACCTCAATTGACTCAGCACAAAGAAAATGTAAAAGCCTGCAAGCTGAACCATGCAACTAGGAAGAGAACTTACTTTCTTTAGTTGCTCAATGTCTTTACCAGATTTCTTAATAATTGAAAAGATACGAGCATGTGCATATAGCAAATAGACAGCAGTGTTGCCCTGTTCAAAATATTATTTTAAAGGTAAGGACTATGCAACTAAAATAGTAATGGAAGCATCTCTAAGCAGCAACAACAATGAAAAAAGAAAGAATAACGAACAAGAGAACCTTACAACAGGAAGTCAATAGCATGATATCCAAGAAGAATTAACAAGCTCAATAAATTATACAGTAACTTATTTCTCATTAGCCAGTTCATCTTAGTGAAATCTACAGTCTAGCAAACAGTGAAGCATATATATACCTTATCATTAAGCATTTGATCGTAATTGAATGTATAATTGGTCAGTCTGTGGTTCTTCAAATCAGCATACCTGACAAAAATGAATAGTAATAATGTAAATAAATCTGTAAGCAGAATTATGTATTTAGTACTATTGTGACACAGTTGAAGCACCAAACTGCCAGCCATTTTGGGTTCGTATATAAGTTTCACTCATAGACCCAGAGTAAAGAAAGAGGCAAAGCGCAGACAGGGAACAAATATATAAATTAATTAGATTTGGGCACCTCAGTTTTTTTCTAGTGTAGGGTGCTCAAGCAGCATACACATAGAAGCAAGCCATCAGCATTTGATAGGCTATTTTATTATAATTTTAAAATAAAACAGAGAGAACTTAAAAATAAAAAACATAAAAATTCATTCTATGAATATAGATGTTCAGGACAAGGGATTAACCTCATCTGCTCTCAAAGCAAACCAAGGGCATTTTGGTGATAAAGAAAAAGTCCAAGATCATTTTTTTAGAAGCGTGAAACTTTCTTTACGAGTCCAGAGAGTAATTCAATGAAGTAAGAATAAAAAAGCCAATACATGTGAAATCCTAAGCATTGAATTTATTTTCTACAATCCTGAGAGGGAGATGACGTCCTCAATATGCCACTGGCAGTAACATAGCCTGTAGTGCTATAAAATTAAACATCCAAAACAGCTCTTTGAAAGATCTATCCATGATATTGTTATCTCATAGGAATATGGAAAATCCTACTCAGGATTCTTGCATAAAATGGTTGCTCCAACAAATGTGGTTGCAACAGCGAGTCTTCCTTAGTTTAGGGAACAGTTTGGTTTGAATTAACTTGTAACTAGAAACCTCTTAACTGCAAGAGCTTTCAAATGCTTAATTCAAACTTTAATATGCCAATAACATGAAACACTTCCAATAGTAATGAGATGATTTAAGGACAACAACTTAAATGGCTCAACATTCCATGTAGAATAGACATCTTACTTGATAGCACCATAACCAATTGCCTCTGAAGTTTTTTCGAGCTCCTCCTCAGTCCACTTTTTGTTCTTAACTGTTCAAGGAAATATTTATAAGCTGGAAGGCTATGCAGAAGGAATCTTACAATAAAGTAATTCACTGTAACTAATTGAATAGAATACACGGGTTAAAATACATAAGCACATAAAAGTAAGCATGACATATCTCACATAAGCAACAAAAAAGAATAATAACAATTCCAGTCATTTATACCTTGCTCAGCAAGCACTATCTTGCTACAAGCCTCGACTTCACAATTAATTGCCTCAGCAAATCTCACAAGCTCTTCCTCAGTCCACTCTTTGCCCATACCTGTCAAGGATATACAGTAGACACAAATAACCCTAGATGTTAAATGCTTAGAAGGGAAGCAATCTCATCGTAACAACAAGTTATATTGCGGTTATTCGTAAAATAAAAGATAAAGATAGGAGAAGCAGATGTATGAGATGATCATATAAAGTTGTTTTACCATGGTTGACAAGTAATTCTTTGCTACTGGTCTTGGTCTTGTAGCCAATTGCTTTAGCCGTCAGCTCTAACTCCTCTTCAGTCCATTCTTTATCCCTACCTATTCAATATAACAAGTAACATTTACATACTTGAAGAGTTGAAAGCTTTTATGGAAAAATCAAGGCAACAAATAAAGATAAGTCAAGCTGTAGTCAAGTATCAGATTAAACATATGTAATGGTTATTATTAAGTATAATAATATTAAATTACATAAGCAAGAGCCATCTCATAGATTATATATAATTCCAATTGTCATACCACAGTCAAGTAGTGCTGCTTGGCTATGAGTCTTGGCTTCAAAACCAATTTCTTTTGCAGTATTATCAAGCAACTCGTCAGGCCACTCTTTGCTATCACCTATCCGGGAGAAATAAAACAACATTTATTGAAGCTGAAATCATATGTGACTACCATTGCATTGTGGACCAAGGTAAATAATAATTGTAAATATATAGGCATAAAGAAATGTAAACTAACAGAAGAAAAGATAATTAGGAAATACACACAACTAACACAGAAATGAAAGATTATTCAAGGATTCATACCACAATCACGCAGCAACCTTTTGGTGAGGGTCTCAACTTCATAACCAATTGACTCAGCAGTATGCTCATTATCTTTTTTCATTCCAAAGCAAGGTCAGCAGGTTTTAAATATTTGTGCAAAGAAGAAAATAAGAATCGTAAGGTGAATGAGCAAGGACAGAAACCAAAGAAAAATAATGATTAATCAGAAATAATTCTAGTTTCCATACCACGCTTAACGAGTTCTGCTTTGCAACGAGTCTTGGCTTCATCAAGCAAATCAATTAGTCGAACCACTTCAGTGGACCGAGTTCTGAAGCGCTTGCCATCATCTCCAAGAACAAGGCCAAATCCAACATGGCTAGCTTTAGGATAGGTACCATTATCGGCCGGGAGCCAACCTGCAGCTCTAGCAGCCTAAATGGAAAAAAAAAAGACTGTCAATTCCCAATTTCTGATAAAGAATTGCAAGAGCCATGGACAAGATGGAAACAGATTATAAGTTTGGCCCTATATACCACATTTGGTAAATAAATTTGCAAATGGAATTAGAAACGTGAAAGGACAAAATTAAAAGAATGGAGTCATCGTACTTGGCATCTCACACAAGATACAAGCTCTAAACACAGATACTTACATTGAATACCATATCAAAGTGTTCTTGCTGGCCAACATCAGTAACATATACAATCCAGTCAGCCTGCTCTTCATTAAGGCGATACCTATGCATAGAAAACAACACGAGACAAATTTAAATTTCAACCCAACCCAACCTGCAGTTTGCTTCATAGACAACTCATTATTACTCAAACAAATATAATAAAACTATTATTCCCATCCTTTTTCAAAAGAAACACATTAAGTGGTATCCAAGCTAAAATGTGGACTACTAGTGAGTCAAAACTATCCTTTAAAATGCATACAAAAAAAACAAACTGAGAAACGTTCAATGCCCCCTTTGCATATAGGACTTATCCAACTCTTATAAACCCCACAAAAGCCTGCCAGAATAGAATTTTTTTCCAATTTACCAAAATCAGGTAGCTCCTTCTGGATCCAGAAATTATTGGACAACTAAGGTCATAGCTTAGAGATAAAAAACCCAGAGGTAGAAAATGGGGAAGGTTAGAAAAGGTAGAGAGAGCATATAGAAGAGGTAACCATCTTGTTGCCAATCGATTTACTATAATTTTAAGACAGATCTTCTGTCAACAGCTCACATGGTCTAATCTAATCCAAGCATTCTGAATATAGGGCTTGGTTGTTACCACAAAGACTTATTCATGAGAAAACTGACTAGTTAAACTATCCCACTAACAATGACTGAGGACCATAAAACTGTTTCGACCAAAAGGCACCACAAAACTTCTCTAAATTACTTGTTTGAAGGAGAAAGTTATAGAATGGAACGAACCACTGTTGACAATGTTACACAATGGATGAACATTTTGTTTAGTTAGTTCTCAAGGCAATACTTGGTAAATGATCCGGACGTCATTGCATCAAGAAACAGAAAATTTATCGATGTAGTTTACAAAGAATTCTACAGAGTTGAAGAAATTGATGATAGATTTCTGGGTTTAAGATAGATAGAAATTAAACAAAAACTAAAAAGGAAAATTAATTTTATTATTCAGACTGCTCAAACTATCAAATAGGTTACATTATGTAAGTTGCATGCTAGAGAAACATAAAAGAGAAGCTAAATAAATAAGTAGAAAGGACGCGTAGGAAATAAACTTACCACAGAGCAGCTAAATCAGTTGAAGCATAGTTGTAACCACCATCACTCTTCACAACAATAAGACATTTCTTTCCAGCATAGATTACGGAAGCTCCCTCATTCTTTTCAATGATACCTTGATTGCTTAAGGTCTTAATGACCATAGGGATGTATGTATTATAGAAACTCTCTCCCTATGAACAAGCAAATAGGAATAAGGTCATATATGTTAATCTTCTATATTTATTTTATTTATCATTATTGTCATTCAAAGACCAGTTATATATATATATATATATATATATATATATATGATAACAGATTGGAATAGCTTAGATAATCAGATAAAAGAATCTTTTCATTAGGACTTCATAAAATTCCAAGTTCAAAATAAATTTGCAATAAAATGTAAACACTAATTCTCCACAAATCCGAACATATGATCCATTGTACAAAGGATTTTACAGCTTCTCAAGATGCTCTTTATTTTTGTGTTTTTTTGGTATCATTACATATGAAATGCTAATATCTACCTTTTCCTCAAGCTGAACTCCGAGAAGTTGGTAGACCTTATTGAATTCATTCCTGCTGATCTGACATATATGAGCCCATGCTTGACGGTATTTGGGCTCTCCACCCTACAAACAGAAAAAAAAATTATATTACCTAAAAGGTTCATACCTTGTATAACTATGATGTCCATGACCAATCTCTCGCTTCTCCTTTTAAGTTAACGTGTAAATAGTTTACCTGAAGACGAACCACAGCACTCTTTGCTTTCTCCTTAAATACAGGATCAGTGTCGAACTTCTCTTTAGAGTTTTTGTAGAACACCTAGACAATGCATCAGTTAAGTTAGAATTCTAAAAATGTATCACTGCATCTATCCGACTGGTGGGAAAGCACAAGATGAAGAAAATTTTGACCTCAACAATAGTCATTGACTTTTAAAAATAAAGAGCTCTCTCACCTGTAGATCTCTGATGGCTTTCTCATTAACATCTTCAAAATTTGGAAACTTCTCAAAGAGGAATTCGATCAACATGCCAAACTGCAAAGCAAATGTATTCATGCAAGTTGTTGCTCATGAAGGAATGATGAACCATGTCACATCATACATAGAGAACATATATACCATATTTAACAAAGAAAACCATGTAATGCATATATAAGCTACAAACACTGAATGGAGATCCATCACAAATGACAGGATCTCATAAAAAATGGATTGGATCCACAGTAAGTTAATACTCAGAGAAATGAATGTTTCTGACCTGTGTCCCCCAGTCGCCAACATGATTTCTACGAAGAACATCGATATTTGAGAATTCAAGTATGCGAGCTAGTGTGTCACCAATAATAGTTGACCTTAAATGGCCAACATGCATTTCTTTTGCAATATTGGGAGAGGAAAAGTCAACCACAGCCCTTTTAATAGAAAGCTTGGGTGCCCAAGAGTCAATACCATCAATTAGCATATTTTGAATTTCCTGCAGTTTTGGAAAACTAATTAAAGCAATCTTAATCTTAAGGAGCACTTAAGCATGATGAGAATTACAGGTTTCATAGAAAAATTAACTATCACACAATTTAGTGAGATACAAAAAAAGTGAATAGTAGAAAACCTTAGCCATCCAGGTCCTGGACAAAACAACATTCACAATACCATTCACCAAAGGTTTTGATGATAAAGCTCCATTTGCCGCAACATCATGCTTTTTATTCTTCAATTTCACTTTCACCTCCACAGAGCTCACAGAGCTTGACTCTATCATTTCAGACTGAGGAAGATTATCCCTGATAGCCTGTCAAGGTCCAATGAAAAACATCAGTTATTAAGCAACAATGAGAAACATTTATGAATATATCTAATTCTATCCATACCACTGCAATTTCCAAAGGGCAGCTAAATTCAGTATTTGTTCCATTGATTTGGGACCAAAGGGTCATGGCATTATTGCTGACAAAAATAAACAGGAGTAAAATTTAAAAAAGAAAAGCAAGAGGATAACAATGGAGAATTCTACCACAATTCTACTGCAGCTATCATCAGAAAATTAAAAGGGATATTGAAATCACCATTGATAATCACCAAAAGTAAGATTGCAAGTAGCAACCAAAGGCTTGACATCTTTCTTCCAAGGAACTGTCTGTCTAATTGCAACATCAAACAACTTTCCTACTTGCTTCCTTAAGGCATTTCCGTTCAAGCTAGCCTCGACCATTGTAGAATGTACAAGTTGTACGCCAAATCAATTTTTGGAATTAAAAAGACGACCCAGAAGGCTGCCAAGATGAAAAACTGATCAGAATAAGATGAAAGTTTCAGTTTACAGCAATGTTCGAAAAGGCGTATTGCGGTTTTGAGGCGTTTTTTGTTCAAAGCGTAAGGCGTAAGCCTCAAGGCGTATTGAGGCGTAAGCCTCAAATTGAAAGTTAAAAATGTGGGTAAAACATATGTAACAATATATATGTATAGAACATTATTAATAACGTAATAAATCCATAAACATTAAAATAGTATCTTGGCAAATAAAAGAGTTCAAACTTCAAACAAAGCAAAGTTGTGTGAACCAACACAATTTATTAGGTAAATATGATGAACTTAAATTGACAGATTGAGAAACAATTCATCGGTGTCTAATGGCTTAAAATTAGTATCAAATGATGTAGTATTTCCACCACCTTCTTCCTCAGAGTTGATAAACCAATCATCTCTTAAGGGCTCCGGAACCACATTATCATTGTCCTCGTCTCTTAAGGGCTCCGGAACCACATTATCATGATAAACCTACCCCATATTTCCATGCTAGATCCGCCATTATTTGTACTTTGTGTTACTAAGAAAAAAAATTAAAATTTTTATATATATGCAAATTTCACAGTAGCAAAAAAAAATGGGTGGAAATCATAAATATGGCATAGCCATAATTCTGCCAATTCAAGGCATTCATGACAAATAAGCAATAGCCAGTACAAATTTATAAAGAAAAAATGGAGCAGAGACTATGTAAAATGGAGCCAGTACAAAATTATAAAGAAAAAATGTAGCCAGTACAAACTTTAAATTTCCAAAAAAAACAGATCTTCATATTAATAAATTAAAAGAATTTCAGATTTTCACAAAAAATTAGCAAAAATTTCAAATAAAAATTTCAATTTTTCACATGACAAATTCATATAACAAATTGTCAAATTCACACCAAAAATGCATAACAAACTCATACCACAAATTTATAAAGATAATATTTTCATATTTACACATAAAAAATGTAAAATTCTTAAAGAAATTCTGAAATTAGTATTTTTTTACCTCCGTACCTGGACACAGGGACCTGGAGGCTGGAGAATTTCCGGCGAGGTGGCGTCTGGCGGGCAGCGGCGTCTCTCTCTCGGTGACTGGCGGGCAGCAGCAGTGGAGAGTGCAGGCGGGCGACGGCGTCTCTCTCTCCGCAACTGCCTTCTGGCCTCTCTCTCGGCGACTTCCGACTTTTCCGCTTTATATCTGGAACGGAAATAGCAAACAGGAGGGCTACTGGGGTAGGGAGTTGTTTTGGGCTTTGGACTTCAATATATAAATACATACTCGTATAATATTTAAAAAAATTAGGTCATTCCCGGAGGGCTGTACTTCAATATTCCGTATATATTATGAGTAATATATATTTGCTACAGTAGTTCGGTATGGGAAATTCGATACAAAGCCCATTCTCATTCCCAAATACCAATTCGAAAAATCAGTTTGGTATGTTTTGGATTTTTTTGAGATTTTTCGATTTGGTAAAATTTGGTACGAGTAATCCAGGAACTTTTGGGAATTTTTGGTAACGGTATGGTACATGCTCACCCCTAAGCTCAACTAAGAGGATCGTAGAAATTCTGATGGTGTCAGTGTGGGAATTCTATTATTTTGAATAGCTCTGTGTGTACTGGACACAGGGTAGTCTCTTTAAGTAGGGCTAAGCGTGGTACAGTATTTGGCTCGTACCGTTATCGTACCAAATATTTCGGTTCGGTATGAGATTTTACATTGTACCGATCCCGATCCCGAAGCATCGGTTCGGTATGGCTCGGGATGGTTCGGTATCGGTTTCGGTACGAATCGGGATTAATATATACGTACCTAGTTTAAATCATAAAATGTAACAAAATCTTTTAATTTTAAAAAATTGAAAGTACATTTAACCAAAGAAAGATAAAAAATTTAAAAAATGAAAAAATAAAATGCAAGAAATGCTTGTGAAAATTAATTTATATTTCACAAACTAAAGAGAACGAGTGATAACAAAGTATTATTTCAAATATTTGTTAATATTCTTATAGTCATCTACAAAAAAAATAAAAAAACCTCTTATTAAAGTGCAATTTAAACATAATGAATTTAAACCAAATTGTCTATATAAATTTTTATTTAATGAAGAAATATAAAAAGATTATTATTTTTATACTCCGTAGTATATATGTTCGGTTCGGGAATTTTGGTATGGGAAGTAACCTCGTATCGTTCCTAAATACCGGACTGACCGTTCGGTATGGTACGGTTTGGTTTCTTTTTGGTACTTTATCGGTTCGGTATTTTCGGTTTTTTCAGGAAATATTGGGATCGGTTCGGTCCTTGCTCACCCCTATTTCTAAGAGCCAGATTGATATTATATCTTGATTTTTTCTTTTCACAATCCTGTCGAGTCGGGATATGGGAGCACCATCGTTCTACCTTTTTTGTAAATATAAAGAGTTCATAAAAAAGATTGTTATCGAAGGTAGTATTTATAATAAGTATCTTTAAACATATGAATAATTTGTTCTAGTATTTGATCATAGATTTTGTAAAAAAAGTTTATTTCATTTTATTTTTTAGATAATGGAAAAACTTTTTAAACAGAAGATCTCCTCAACACCTGAGTCTAGATCATTTGTACTTTCACTAGCAAAAGAAATAAATTTAAGTAATCTTCCATGGAATCCTTCAGAAAGAAAACATATTTTAGAGATTTTTTTTACAATGAAACACCTGAAATCAAATTTACGAAATTGAATGGGGAATGAGTTTCTAAATGGTTGTGTGATGTGTGCTATGGAAGAGGAAACATTTTTTAATCTTACAAACGAAGATATAATTGATCGCCATCAAAAGATGAAAATTCGAAGAGAACATTTGTAAGAGGCATATTCTATCTATTTAATTGTCCCTTGTTTTTTAACCTTATTTTTGTCACTTTAATTTACTTAATGCCCCATTGAAAATATTTTCTGGATCCGTTACTGTTATCTATGATATACAAATAATAAATATCTATATATGTTTGTAAAAAAAATTGTCAACTTCTTGCTATAAAAAATTTCAAGCATTTTTATTTGTTTATAAAATACTCTTATACGGAGTACTCCCTCCGTCTCCCTATATTTGTCTATATTTGACTTTTGGAACTGTTCATCTAAACACTTTGATTATCAAATTCTCTCAATGTGTAAGCCTAAATATAGTCATGTGTGATCTTGTTTGATTTGTCTTAACATATAGATTATTAATATATAATTTTTATAATTTTTTAATATACAAATTACAAGATAAAATAAACTAAAGAAGTGCATTGGATGATGTGTAAAAATGAAAGTGGTGGGCAAATACAAGGGGACGGAGGGATTACTCCTACTACATTTTTCATGCAACTTCACAATATTTTTTTAAAAAATGAAATACAATGGGTGAAAATGAAATATATTGTTGGGGATAGAAGAAGGAAGCCGAATCAAAGAAGGAAAACGAATCCTGTTGGGATTCGGTTTAGTATCTTTCCTAGTTTGCTTAGTTCTTGTTTTAGTAGGAATAGAAATATGGTAGGAATAGAAGTTTATTTATATGTTTTACTCTCTTCCTATATAAAGGGGGTTAGATCTTTGTATTCAGCAGAACAATTCAATATACAGAATATTTTTCCCTCTTATTTTTTTTTCCCTCTTTGATTGTTCTCCCTCACTAAAGAATATCATGAACTCATTCAACAAAGAACATTGCTATTGAGAAATCCCGCCCAACCATCAATCTTGAAGAAGTTGTCCGACAAGGGTTGTTCTACAAAGATGGACAACTCTTTCCTTTGCAGGCGTTTAAAAAAAAGTCGGCATTCAAGGTGTTCGAAAAGAATGGCGTTCCCCCTATTTGTTCGAAAATGGTGAAGGTTCGAAAAGAATGGCGTTCCTTTACTCGACTGATTATTCGGCGGATTCGAAAAGCTTGGCGTCTCCGTTGAAAAAAAACTGAAGTGTCTAGATGACACTTGGACAACGATGGCAGGGGCTTCCTCAAGCTTTGTTCAATCTTTTGATGTCCAAGCTGGGCATGTTGAACTCCCATGCTCCAGCTTGAGGGGGGGTGTTGGGGATAGAAGAAGGAAGCCGGATCAAAGAAGGAAAACGAATCCTGTTGGGATTCGGTTTAGTATCTTTCCTAGTTTGCTTAGTTCTTGTTTTAGTAGGAATAGAAATATGGTAGGAATAGAAATTTATTTATATGTTTTACTCTCTTCCTATATAAAGAGGGTTAGATCTTTGTATTCAGCAGAACAATTCAATATACAGAATATTTTTCCCTCTTATTATTTTCTACATATATGATTTTAAAATTCATTTTGAGGAGAGAAAGCTTATATGGTTTTCAACTTTTCATATTCATTTTCAATAAAAAAGTGAAGAAGTTATAATTTTATTTTGAGAGTAAACTTATTTCAAAGAAAATTCTTTATAAAGCTTATCTCATCTCGATTGAATGATACATTTAATTATCTTCTTAGTTTTATTTTTAGATTGTCTTAATTCCAATTCATTTTTTCCACTATCAATTACAAATTCACATAATTTTTGTGCTATGAAACACCAGAATTAAAATTGAAGTCCTCAATTCCAATTTTATAATTTGAATTCTGTGTACCAAACCGAGCCTAAATCTCTTTTCAAATGGTTAAAATCAACAAATCGGGACTAGACCTTCCCAATTCCCATTTAGTTTATTCCAGTTCAAACAATTTTATTTCAAGATTCCCAAGTGTTTCTAAAGTGATTTCTCAAACTCCACAATCATCTAATAATCTAATACTCCGGGGTAACAAATACAAATCATTAAAAAACTGTCACATTTGTCGTGACTATATTTAGATTTACACATGGGATTTTGATGAGTCTTAATGTTTAGATGAACGGTTCTAAAACTCAAAATTGAATGAATATAGCAAGAAAGAAGGAATACATAACATTCTAGAACTTAAAATGTGGTGTTGTGCATGTGAGTCATATCATAAGGCTTCCTTATGCCCAGAGAAGATTCGACCAAACATGGAGCAAACCAAAACAACTTTTATTCTAAAGTAAAAAAAAAACATTCTCAGGCTAAGCAAAACCTTATGTTAGCCAATGTTATAAAAATGAGAACCCAAAAAAATATTCAAATGCAAACAGCTCTTGTGTAAAAGTTGTTGTAACTTAATGTAGCATTTGAATACTACCCATCTTTTCGTCTATTTTTAGAAGTTACATCTCACTCTACCCCAATCAAATTGTCTCTTGAACTTCGTTAGAGGTTGCCGCCCATTAGACTCTATCACTAAGGATTATCGCTTCCAGGCATTCGTTAAAAAATTTATAATATCATTATACAAATGTATATTTTACCACCACGACTTTGATATACTCCATCGTCTCAAATTGTTTAGAATATTTCGAAGAGCGTAAAAAATCATTTATTTAAAATTATTTTATTTACAATCTGGTAAAGAAATAAAACGTAGAAATTAAACTTTTTACATCAAAAGTTTTACGAAAGAAAATGCGACAAGAAAATTTTATTTTATCAAATGATCACCCAAAACAAATAACAAACAAAAATTACTGAGGCCCCGAAATAATAAATGTGATATTCTTTTTGGGACGGATGAAGTAATTATTTATTAAAATCTTCATTATTCTTAAATAAATTCACCGAACATACTCCATTTAACATTGCAAAGTTAAAAATTATGCGGAGAGCAAAAAATTGATCCTGAACAAAACATTTAAAATATAAATATAGAAACAAATACATCAATCTTAGAAATCTAAAAAGGGGACATTTTTTTTTTAAAAAAAATAGGCCTGTCTTTTTGGACGGTGTTAATAAGAGCAGTGGTAATACCCATCACGCCCACCGGCGTTACAGGGCGTTTAACGCCCCGGGGGCGTGAAACACCGCCCCCCGCCGGCGTGAAACGGGCGTGAGGGCGCCTGCGTCAAACGAATGACGCGGCGTGAGTTCGGCGCTGCTCCCTCCTAACGGCTAAAATAGCCGTTGCACCCCAATTTAAAAAAAAAAAAAAAATTTCCTATAAATTCATCCCTCCCCAACCAATCTCTCACACATTCACTCCAATCTCTTCTTCTTTCTTATTTTTAAATTTCAAAATTCAAATCCCTCCTCCCAATTTTCAACATGAATCCTTCCGGCTCCGGCTTCGTTCCCGACAATCTCACCCCGAGTGACGCCGCGATGTGGTTCTACCAAGAGTGGGGCGATCGACCGCCGATATTCGAGACGCAACAATCCGGGTACGTCGACCGAGATTCGGTTCCGGAGACTCAACCGGAACCGTCCGGATCGAAAAAAAGTACACTAATATATTTATATTTTTATTTATATATATTATATTTAATTGTGTCAAAAAAAATTGTGTAATACTTTTTTAAAGGTACGGAGCAAACGAAGGATGCGATGTGGGATCGTATCGAGGAGAAGTTCTTCACGGCGATGAAGAAGGACGGCTCCTACCGAACTCGGGACCAACTCACTTCCAAATGGAGCCACATCAACAAAAAAGTCCGAAAGTTTATGGGAGTTTACGAGGAATGCTCCCGGTCCCGGAGGAGCGGCACGAACGACGCCGATGTTCTCCGGCTTGCCACGACCCGGTATCAAGACGACGGGAACCAAGGCAAGGTGCCCATCGATCTTTGGAGGATTTTGAGTCGTTCCCCGAAGTGGCAACAACTCAATAATCCCGACGGCGGATCATTCCGGAAATGATCCACCGTCGACGCCGAGGTTGAGGCTGACGAGACTATCGGTTCTACCGATCAAATCCCCCCCTTCAACGTTGCGGATTCCGATGACGAAGACCCCATTCCACGGCCGATCGGAAGAAAGAAGGCAAAATCCATTGCCTCTGGTTCGGGAGGGTCCGCCTCTTTTTCCGCTTCTCCCCGTGACGAAATCGGCCTGGCAATGGTTGAACAACTTCGGGCGTTCAATCTCCAGGAACAGGAGAGGTTGAAGCTAAAGGAGAAGGAGTTGAAGATAAAGGAGCAAGAGACCGAGATGCAAGTCATGCAAACCGACCCCGAGACGTTGTCGGAGTTTGGACGAATGATCTACGAGCAAAGAAAGAGAGAGATCAAGGAAAAATATAAATTACCTTAGTTTTTTTTATTAATGTATCGTTTTTTTAATTATTGTCACTGTTTTATTTAATTAATGTATTTTTTTTATTATTCGTGTTTCAATTTAATTAAATAATAAATTAATTTGAATTTATAAATTTAAATTTAGAAGATGTATATTTAAAAATGTAAAAAATGGAGGTTTGAAGCCCCGGGGCTTCAAAACCATTTCCAGTGAACTTTGGGTGTAAGTTAAAGCTGATGTGGCAGAGAGAGAAATTTTGAAGCCTCGGTTTGAAGCGAGAGTGTATATGGTACATCCGGATGTACCTAGAAATAGGTACATCCGTGTAGTACTCATTCCGAATTAAAGTAGCACTCATTCTCGCACAAACATAATGGTTCATTTGAAAAACGGAGTACTCATTCTAAAATTACACAGTATTCATTCAGAAATAACGTCGTACTCATTTTTACAAATTTGTTCAATATTCATTTACGAATTAAATAATATTCATTATAAAAACTAATAGTACTCATTCCCATGTAACCTAGTAATCATTCTTAAACAAAGTTCATCATAAGTTCAAATTTGGAAAGTGGAAGAAAAGACTTAAGGAAGCAGTAGGACCATCTCGAGCAACCTGAAGCGGTGACCAGATCTTAGCAAGCAGCCGATTGCAGATCATACATTCATCTTCTTCCAAACAACCTCCATTGGAGCTTCATCCTCTAATTGCGGATTGGACCTTCTTCATCGTCAAATCACAGATCGCCTATCGGGAATCAACCAGCCCCATCTCAGCCTCCTTCATGGCCAATTGAATCGGCCGTTCCTACAGCAGTTCCTCCCTAAGCCCCAATTAATTGCCGGCTGTACGGTTCTTCCCGTACAGCCGGATGTACGATATAATTTGCGGTTTGAAGCCCCGGGGCTTCATGGCCATTACCAGTGCTCTAATAATCGAGACGGAGTAAAATTTAGATCTCCAAAGGAAAATATAGAAAAAGGTCAAAATACGGCCGGCGTCGATGCCTAATTAGCGGCTCCTGGATTGCCAATTACTGTCGTCGGCGACTCGCCGTCGAATTCATGTTGTTGTTCTTCTTCTTCGATAGAAAAGACCATAGATTTGTGTCTCTTCCGCGCGATTGAGGCGGTGGGAGAGCAGCGCGGAGAAGGCGATCGGGAGGAGGCCACAGCCAAAGCCAGACAGCCCTCGCTCCAGGAGCGCCGGATGGGGTAAGACACGTGGGACGGCGAATGGGAGCAACGGTGGCCTCCTCCGCCGCGCGATTTGTGCAGGGCGCAGCCGCAGTTCTTGTGATAGGGGCGGCGTTGGATGTCGGAGTCGTGGCCGGAGATGCTCCCCTCGAATACGCCGCGCAGTAGCCCGCTGCCCCGGCGGCCATCCCGCCGCTTCGATGATTCAATCGGCGGCCGGTCAAGCTGCACGAGATGATGATGATGATGATGATGATGATGAATTTGCTTTCAGAAAATGATTATGCTTTAAATACTCCGTAATCAATTGCTACGCGCAGAAGAAGGGGAGGAAAAGTTCGTTGGGAAATTAATCAGAAAATGATTATGCTTTAAATAATCAGAAAATGATTATGCTTTAAATAATCATCTCGCCCAAGCCCTCGACTCCGACCTCGAACCATTTCTTGTCTCTCCTCCATCAATCCAAGAGGATCTCTTATCTAGTTCGTAATTTATTTACTTGTACTAGGAAATACTGGAGTACTTAATTAGTTCGTCAAAGTCTATTCGTCCACTTTTATTTTTTAGTCAAACTGGATAGACTTTATTAATCAATTACTCTTTATTTGTACTCCCTCTGTCCTAAAATTAACTTCTCATTTGACTTTTTACGGTCTCCAATGTGATACTTTGACCATTAATATCTCCTTTTTTATATGAATATATATTATCAAAATAATATATTTCAAAATTATGTTTCAAAGTGAATCCATTGATACTAAATTTATATAAAAATTCAATATATTTTTTCCGTAATATGCAGTCAAAGTTTAAAAACTTTGACCGCAAAAATCAAAATGGAAAATTAATTTTAAGACGGAGGGAATATTATATTAATCTTGAGACAATAAGTCTAAAATTCTAAACAAGATAAACTCAATTAAATAATTTTTAAACTAATGTGCATTATCATTTTATTTAATTGAAGTCTAAATTTTGTTGGTTTAACTCGAAAAAATTAAATTGCATAGTACATGGAGGGGTACATGTGGTGGGCATTTGAAAGGAAGGCAATAAAAACCTTGTGAATGTCGCAATACATGCCTGACCATCAGTTGTACGATAATACTCATTTTTGATGAATTGGATATTTATTTTTGAATAACTAAATATTTATTTTTTTATAAGATTAAATATTACAGGGAAGAAAAATAAGAATGAAATAATCCGAACTTATATTATGTTTTGATTTTAAAAGGGAGGAAATTAAAAATTATCTTCGTTATATATCAGAATCTTCAACCCGCTACGATTAGTTACTCTTGAAAGTGCAACGTACAATTGTTCATGACTAAACACCAGTTTCTGTAACAATAGTTGGACTTACCTATCACTGAAAGTTTTAAAAACTTCATCCAAGTTCTCATTGAGTAAAACGTAGCTGACATTATAAAATATTGTAACTGATAATTGTTCTGATATGTTTAGAACAACAACAATTGGAATTAAATCTTGTGTTTGTGTATTTCAAATTTATATACAAATAATATTATAAAAATACCATTGTATAGTCTAGGTTTCACCATTTGCATCAACAAAATTAGAGGCATCGGATCCACTGCATTAAGACCATAAATCACCAAATTGATATGATTTGCCCATATCGTACTATTTAATCGAATGCCCCTACACATATATAAAGTTAAAATTAATAATAAACTTTCTCAAAGTAAGACTATAAATAAAAGTCGGAGATAAGTTATAAAAAATATGTATAAAATTTATTCATAGCAAAAAGACACGATAAATTTATTCGTAGCAAAAAAATTATGAAAGATTTTTTTTAATATACTTTTAAATTTTAAAATGACAACACGATAACATACTACGCCGTATTAAATAATAATAAGAGTGCAAAATTTAATTACCTTTTTGATGTATTGTATATTTATTATTCTTTCATATTCAAAACGGTGTATAATGTTTTTTAAATACCGTGTACTAATACCCTGAAACATATTATTTAATATACCTTTAAATTTTAAAATGGGAACACGATACCTAGACCTGGCAAATCGGTCAGTCAGGTCGGGTTCGGGTTCGGTCACCTTGGGTTCGGGTTACTTCGGGTTCGGTTAAGTTCGGGTTCGGGTTGATAACCACATGTTCATGACCCAGTGTCATCGGGTTCGGGTTGACCCAACGGGTTATGAGTTTCATTTATTTTTTTGAAATTTTAAGTAAGTTTTATGACTTAGTGTCAATATTACGAATAAAAAAATTAAATATGTAGAAATTTTGAAAAATGTAAGATAAGCATGCGACATCATTAAAATTTGTTATGATGTTATAAATCTATACACAAAAAATGAGTTGTAAACAAAGAAATATAATCATAATCTTATTTTTATAACACCATATTTCATATTAAAATGTATGATTTTGAAAAAATCTTAGATTAGCGGGTCGGTCAGGTCGGATATGACCCATTTTTAGCGGGTCATTTCGGGTTCGATCAGCAAAATCTTTGTTCAAAAACCAGTATTTTCGGGTCGGGTTTCGGGTCAAAAACAGGTCGGGTCATTTTTTTGCCATGTCTAACGACACCATATTATTAAATAAAAATAATAATGGAAAGTTTAGAACAATGCGTATCGTCTGGAGCATTGATTGGAACGTGTATCCCTTGTATTAATTCTTTTATTTAATATACCTTTGATTTACATATATTGCCTTTTTAAAGTTATATCCGTAGTAATTACATGGTTCTGCATTTAAACATTACCATATAAAAAAATTAATACTTACTAATTTTATGAGCAAATAATTCTGTGTATTAATATAGATTTAAAAATGTAAACACAGTTTTATACGCGAGTTAGCATTTAATAGATACCATATCAAAAAATAAAAACATTTAATACTTATCAATTTTATGAGCACATACCTTACGTAATGACGAAGAGCATTGGGCAGGAAATGAAAAAGAGAAATTCACCTCTTTTTAAATAAAGTATGGATATGGATACAAAATGGACAATGCACATACATCACAAAGGGATCCAGGGCATGTAAATGAACAGAATGCGGTGAAATGGAAGAGTATATTAAAGGGAATGAGACATGATCAACCATTGATTTGAAAAATATTAAAGATGTGCATGATGACAAATACTTCATACAAATCATAGTGAAATAATGCTATATACGGAGTATATATTATGTGATTGAAGATGGATTGTACACTACATTAAAAGTAGTAAGTAGTAGGAAATAACAGTGTAATGCAACAACAGTTATGCCAAAAGATAAGTTTCGAACATAGTGGGATTGCAACAATTATGTCATCTGTTCTCACGTTGATGTTCCTGCAGGTTGAGGTGGAGCAGTTTTAGCCATCCTTTGCAATAGAATTGAGGACACCTACAACACAAAAACAGTCGGGAACAGACTATTTGTTATAAAAAAAACCAAAATAAAAGTAATGTTTCAAAAAAACAAAAATAACAGTTAACAACTAAATAATGTTTCTTTAAGAAAATAAGAATTCCCTATTTACCTCCACATCATCGTTTCTCGTCACGGAGGAATCAAAGAACATCTTGATGGTATGGATTTCATGGCTAGAGAATCAAATGTTAGGTAGTATATATTAATATGATAGAAAATGTACGTATTATTAACAAGAAAGACAGTAAGTTTAGTTTTGAGAATATTACCGATCAAAAGTTGAGTCCTTGTTTAGCATGTAAAACAACACTCCTCTTAGCTCACCAATGATATCTCCGAATTCCTCCCGAAAGCTCTTGTAGGTACAAAATCTTCCCTGTTCATTAATAAACAATAATTACTCTAGTGGAGTCAAGAAAAAAATTAAAACAACTAAATATTAGTAAATTAGTACGGAGTATGAGAATAAACTCACAGATCTCCCTTCATTGTGCTCCAAAATATTGCGAAGCAATCTTATGATATCGACGCGGGGAGCACTCTGATTTGGAATTTTGAATTTTCCACCTTTGCTAAAGAGGGTACTCTTCTGATACCTTGTTGGCCAATCCAAGAGCTTTTCACAACAATCACCCGTGCCATGCAAGTTAAAGATTGCGTTCTGAATTTCGGTTGGCTCAAACAATTTCTTATCGAAAATGGTCATATGCAACTTCTCTAGTAGATTCAGACCTTCAAGAGTTGTATAGAACATGGGAGTATCGAGAAGAATGCGAGCCTCCTCAACACTGAAATTGTTTGTGTGTATATATATAGATATAGATATATATTGGAGTATTAAATAAAAAATGAAAAGACTTAATCCTGGTAATATAACATAAAATAAAATAAAAATAAAAAACAGAAAAAGAGGAAGCTTATATGAAAACCTAAGGCAAAAAAAATGGAGAGAACAATCAAGGCAAAGAAGCATAAATAATCAGAGGAAAAGGATAATAATTAGACTAGTCGTGAGAAGAGTCCAAAGAATGCACAGGAAGATGAAAACAATAAAGGTGCTAAAGAATTAGATTTCACAGAAGTAAAAGGATATTAAAGCAGCAAAGGAAAACAGATTGGAAGAGGACCATGAATATGTTGGAAACGTAAACGCAGAACCAGATTTACACTTTAAAATGAAAGTAAGACAATACCTTGCAACACTGGTTTCTTGGAGCGCGGCTATAAACTTTGAGAGGTCTCCACAATCGCCCACCGGGTGTCCCGGCATCTCCAAAACCTCTACTATGATCCCGGCAAAGTCTTGGAAATCTCGTTGGATCATTTCTAGGATTGATCTTTTGTTTGGAACATCCAAGAAGTTTCCGAGCTTTGCCATGTTGGATGGCGTGATGAAGACGCCATCCCGAATGTTAGAATGTGTGATGTTTTGGGAGTATAAAAAGCGAAGACCATGGGAGATTTGCCTAAACAATTAAAGTAAAATATATTTAAATAGTATAAAGCTAAGATATATATATATATATATATATCAAATGAAATTCAATGAAGAAGATAAGAAGAAACCTTATGAAGGTATGTAAATCTTCCCGGATGCATGAAAACCAGTGAGTGAATGATGTGGGACTTGATTGACTTTTTTTTGAAAAGTATTGAAAGAAGGAAGAGTTAAAAGCCTCAACACCCAAAACCTTTCTCTGAGCATCTTGAAAATACAAACTAAGAATGTATGGAGAGGCTCGAGAGAAACTTGGGACTTTTGAAAAGGGTTTGGACATTCTTAAAATGGAAATGAAGAGACATTTCTCGTTAGAATTGTATGAAAAAGTGCGCCGCTCATCATCTTCGTAGCAATAAGTTAAACGACATGCAAATTTCTTGGAAATCGGCTTCGAAGCCGAAACCTTTGAAGTGGCAATGTGGTTGTACGAGCTTAAATTTGGTTTCCTGATAGCGTTGGAAATATGTTTGAACCACCTCATGGTATATAGCCTGCAAAATCAAATAGCCCAGCCAAAACCACCTCTTACATCCACAACAGATACATTAAGCATGCAGATATCTAGCACTACCAAACTATTACAGACCAAAGCCGTGGGTGCCATTATGCAAAAGAGCTATACATTATTATAGTCTTTATGGGCAAAACAAGTAAACAACTTCAAAGATATGGAAGTGAAAGTGGAAAAAGGCAAGGGCAGAATGAATAGAAGGTTTGTTGCAGCAATTTTTTTGTGCCTGCCTGTTGTTGTTAAGGAACCAGAAGATCCATAATAAGGAGATATCCCATGTACAAGAGGTGGCTAAGAAGATTCATCTTTTGGATTGATACTTTAATTTCACCAGACATAATGTATGAATGAAATCATGAATAGCAGTGTAGTTACTGTCTTGTCAGCTGCCATAGTAGAATTACACTGGTGTTGCTTGTAATCTGTATACTTTGATCTTTTGATTAATGAATTTGTGCTTGATTGTAGTAGTAGTAGTAGTAGTAATAATAACAATAATAATAATAATAATAATAATAATAATAATAATAATAATAATAAGAACAATAATAAGAATAATGATAATAATAATAAGAACAATAATAAGAATAATGATAATAATAATTGTGATCAAATTTTAAGATTAAACTTTTATTAAAAAGATCAAATTTTATCTGATAGAAGTTTGATGGTTTCAATTTGTATTTTAGAAAAAAATGGGGCCTATATTTTGACTTTCCCTCCGGGCCTACACAAGTTTCGAGACGGCCCAACAACAAACACAGGGAAACATAAATATACCAATCCACATCCAGATCTAAGCACACAACATATTATTTTAATCATATTTTCGCAAAATCAGACGACACACAAGAAAATATGGCATAACAAAACCCAATCCAAAAATAAACTTCATATTCGAGGGCCCAAAAAAAAAAAGCAGATCCCCACAAGCCCGACCGCAAAACTAACTCGGATTCAACATTTTGACTAAGATTTAAGCTTTTAAAGTAGATATATGAAGCTATCGATCGACAGTTATGGAAGCTTTACCGCTCGAAAAGGAAATCGGTTGAAGTTGAGAGCTCAACACACGCGCCTATGGATCGATAGCCCTAGCTTGAGAGCTCTCCGATGAAGTTGAGAAACGCAGGCATTGCTCAGAAAAAGGCCGCCGGTGAGGCATAAAACCCTCGGTCAGCAGCCACAACGTTACAACGGTAAAATGAACTGGGTAAAATGAAAACGCTACACCCGCCTAAAAATTACTGCTCCGTATCAAATAAAAATTGACCCTCCCTGTTTTACAGCACAATTGACCCCAAAGTATTACCCGTAGTACTTTGATAAAGTTTGATTTTTTTTAAATCAAATTGTATAATCTTTTGGCTGCAAATTAAATATACTTTAAGATAATTAAACATTGGGTTAAAAGAATTAAACCACTTATGTTTTCAAAAGTTATTTATAAAATTCTTGTGGTTTCTAAATAGAACACACATGTCCCTTACCTATTTTTAAATTAAAAAATGACATATATGCCCTTTGTTTTCCCCAACCTTAAATTTTCCCAATTTCAGTTTTATTTATTATACAAATATATAAAATAAAATATACACTTCCCATCCCAAATTAAAATTTTTCATAATGTACTTTTGAGAACAAAAGATTTTTTTGAAGAATGTTACAAAAAAAAAGGAAAAATAATATATTGTGTACAAAGTAAAAAGTAATAATAATATGTTAAAGGAAAGGAAATATTTGGTAGAATATTTGGAGAAGCTTCCTTGTATAGGGTTGATTTCGTTTCCTTTTGTGATTAGGTTTCTCAACCTGTGAGAGCCTATATATACATGTCTACTTTGTAAATTGAACACAAGAAATCTAGAGAGAATTTCCTCCCAATTCATTATTCTTTCACTATTCTTTCATGGTATCAAAGCCAAAACCCTAAAATTTTCTACGACTACTGTTCACGATCGCCCGGCATGGCGTCCATCGATCGTTGCTCAGTTTTAGTCGGTTGTTGCTGTTGCCGGATAACGGAACGGTCGACCGTTGCTCTAGAACGGTCGAGCACGTCGACCGTCCCGTCGGCAGATTGTTTGATTGATGCTGCTATTGATTCTTCCGCCAACGCCGTACGCCACTCTGCTACCGCCATGGCCGATGAACAACTAAGGAAGATGTTTTTCTCGCTATCATCATGTGTTTCTAGTTTGAAGCTTTCAGGTATTCCTGTGTCACCGCGGTGGATTATAGATACTGGGGCATCAAATCATATGACTGGTGATATTTCGTTATTGTATGATGTTGTGGGAATATCACCGTGTGAGATTGGTTTGCCCAATGGGAAAAGAATTGTTTCTGTTCAATCGGGGAAGATTAAATTGACAGAAACATTAATTCTGCATGATGTTTTATATGTCCCCACTTTGAGTTGCCATTTAATCTCTGTGTCACAATTGACAAGGGATTCGAATTGTGAGGCACGTTTTGCCAACAATAAGTGTATACTACAGGATCTGCATTCAAAGACAGAAATTGGTATGGGTGAGCAGGAAGGAGGACTTTATTACTTTCAGGAGCCTGAAAAGAAGATGGTGTGCAGTGCGAAAAAGGAGAGTAAGTTTGATCTCTGGCACAAACGACTTGGACATCTTTCCTCTCATGTTTTGTCTCTTGTTCCTGAAGTTGGAACAAGTAAGAGAAGTCACAGTTGTTGTGACATTTGTTTACGTGCTAAACAGACTCGTGGGAGTTTTCCTATAAGTTTTTATCAATCTGTTGATAAATTTGATATGATACACTGTGATTTATGGGGACCATATAGGACTCCAAGTCTTGATGGTTCTACAATG